GACGAATTGCTCTTATATTTAAAGAAACACACCTAGCTGTCCTCGTGATAAAATCCCTTTCTTGTTTAAGATAGCACAAGATTTTATTACTTGCAACTCTAAGAACCTTAACTCATCAGAACTGATCAATGAAATGAATGGCTATATGCTTGGACTGAACTGAAACTTATAAAGTAGTGCCAAAATATGCACATGCTATGTAACAATGAGAATAAAAAAATTCTGATAACAATTAAAAAATATGAATCTTAATTGTTATGTTTATTCTAATCAACGTTTGAAATATATATCTAGTAAAGATTTAGAAATAACAGTATTGATTTTATTGTCTTCCCCATCTCTGACATGGAATTGCTCTGAATTTTGTTTTTTAATTTGGCATGCTTGATGAAATATCTGTGCCAATCCGATGAGGAGGAAGTAATTACAGAATGCTTACCCTCATCTCCCATTTATAGAACAGAGAAACTGTAGCTACAAGAAAGAGCTCCCTTCCTTTGCTGGCACAGTGCTGCTATTTTGGTGTCTGTCAGTTAAGAATATCTACCCAGTGCCAATATAGCATAGCCATGTGTTAGTCTGGTTAAATGGCTTTTGTTAAAGGACAGTGTTCTAACCACTGGACAATCAATTCTCCTACTATGACACTGTGACCTTGAATTTCTGGATCTCAAACATGGTAAAGCCAGAATGGGTCATTTTCCTCCATTCTATTTGAACCTGACTTTCCCATTCCCAAAGACTGCTGACACCATAACAATCTCCGTTTTTGTACGGCTGGAAGCTTAATTTTCAACTTAATCATTTACTCTTCTCATATACATCAGTTGCTGCTTCTTCCTAAACAATATTAATGTATACCCCCTTTGAAAGAACTAATCAACATGTATAGACTAGTCTCTTTATTTACACTGCCACTGTCAAGTGTGTAAGTCCAGACACTTGCCATCTCTTTTCACTTGCATTGCTCTGACGTCCTTTACAATTTTTCTCCTTGGTCAATGTGGGCCCTACCAGTCTGTTACTGCAAGATCCCTGCTGCAGTAATTGATCTTATCTACTCAGCAGAAGATCTGGCCTATATATACTCCCTTCTATTGGTTCTACATTGCCTTCCCACTGTCCTGAGCTCAAACCTAAGATCTTCAGGGCAGAAGGCTTCAAGTTTCCTGCAGGACTGATATCCTGATACTGATTCCCTAATCAAGCAAATTAATTCTCCAGGGTAACCGTCCCCCTCCTTCTCCTGCGTCTCCAGGATGCCTTATCTATTCATCCCACTTCTTCCTTTAGACCTTCTCTAAGTAGTCTGAATAGCCCTTCCTTCCCTTATTAGAAAAGGAGACAATTAGTTACAGCTTTCACTATGCTAAATATTTACAAATGCTCTTAGTTAACCTCAGAGTAATCCAGTAAGGTAGTACTATTACGTCTCTCAGCTTTCAGATGAGAAAACTAAGGCTTAGAGAAGTTAAGTAGCTCACTGGTAAGTGGCAAAGCTAAAATGAACTAGAACTGAGTAACTTTGAAACTCCCAATAGTTATCAACCTTTGAGTCTTTGTATAAGTTGTTTCCTTGGCTCAGAAAGGTCCTATCCCCTTTTTCTGGCTGGCAAGCCCCTGGTCAGGCTTCAAAGCCACAGTTAAGCACTATAACCCATCGCCCCCTTTTAAAGGCTTCTTTCACACTGTTAAGTAAGTGGTAACAGTGTGGTACAAATAGGACCCTTGTAAGTATTTATTTTGTTTTCCTTGCTTACTGGACTGTGAGGACACATTAGCAGGGCATGTGGCTCTCACCTGTAATCCCAGCACTTTGGGAGACGGAGGCAGGTGGATCACCTCAGGTCAGGAGTTCGAACCAGTTTGGCCAACATGGTGAAACCCCGTCTCTACTAAAAATACAAAAATTAGCTGGGCATGTTGGTGTGTGCCTGTAGTCCCAGCTACTCGGAAGGCTGAGGTAGGAGAAAGAACCGTTTGAACCTGGGAGGCAGAGCTTGCAGTGAGCCGAAATCGAGCCACTGCACTCCAGTCTGGGCAAAAGAGCGAAGCTCCATCTCAAAAAAAAAAAAAAAAAAAAAAAAAAAAAAGAGACATTCAGGCTGGGCACGGCAGCTGATGACTGTAATGCCAGCACTTTGGGAGGCCGAGGCAGGCAATTCACTTGAGGTCAGGAGTTTGCGACCAGCCTGGCTAACATGGCGAAACCCCATCTCTACTAAAAACACAAAAATTAGCTGTGCAGGGTGGCAGGCCATTGTGATCCCAGTTACTCGGGAGGCTGAGGCAGGAGAATTGCTTGAACCTGGGAGATGGAGGTTGCAGTGACCTGAGATCCCACCACTGTACTCTACGTTCTGCTAGTAGTGACTAGGCTTTTGTTTAGTTTATCATAGTAAACAATATTGGTCTACGTAATTTCTTATTTTGCTTGTCTTTGTATGAAATGAAAGCCCTGAGAAGTTACACTTGGCTTCCTTATCGTTTGTTCTTATCTGTAATTTATGTAAAGGGATCTGTGATTTTCTTGCATCATCATTCATTTTAAAGGAATAGGATATAGTATTTTCCAAAGTGTGGATATAGAGAGATTTCTCAGTAGGTCACAAACCATTAAAGCCTTTAAACAATTGAATAGAACAGAAAATACATACATAACGTGGCAACAGTAAGTATTGTTTAGTCAAATTTTCTTTCTTTTTCTTTTCTTTCTTTTTTTTTTTTTTAAGATGGGGTTTCACCACAATGGCCAGGCTGGTCTTGAACTCCTGACCTCAGGTGATCCACCCACCTCAGCCTCCCAAAGTGCTAGGATTACAGGCGTGAGCCACCGCGCCCAGCCTTAGTCAAATTTTCTTTTGGTTTTGTGTGTGTAACAGTTTGAAATGTGTATTTTACTACAGAGTCCCATTAGAAACATAAGAAAGACACAGGATTACTTATGAATAAGAAAAACATGCAATATCCGCACCTGAGATCCATTGTATTTAATGGGATTTTTACCATTCAATGAATCAAAACACCTACCAGTATGAAACAAAGTCCAATTACAGAAAGATATTTAATTAAGCCTGTACTAAGGAAGCTTCTAAATACCCTTAATTATAGTCAACCCAAACCTAAGGAGGATTTTATAAGTTAGTAAGAGTGTAGTTTGCTTCACAGTGCAGTTATCAGATTGAGAAGCAATTTATTTCATACTATGGAAAATCTGAGTATTTCTTTCATTTGATTTAAAATATTCATCTCAAAGAAAAAATTCAATATGGAATTAAAAGCAAATGAGGCCAGGTATGGCTCACACCTGTAATCCCAGCACTTTGGGAGGCCAAGGCAGGAGGATCACTTGAGGTCAGGAGTTCGAGACCAGCCTGGCCAATGTGGTAAAACCCTGTCTCGACTGAAAATACAAAAATTGGCCACGCATGGTGGCTAGTACCTGTAATCCCAGCTACTGGGGAGGCTGAAGCAGGAGAATTACTTGAATGCAGGAGGCGGAGGTTGCAGTGAGCCCAGTTTGTGCCACTGCACTCTAGCCTAGGTGACAGAGAGACTCCATCTTAAAAAAAAAAAAAAAAAAAGAAGGTGGGTGTGGTGGCTAATGCCTATAATCCCACCGCTTTGGGAGGCTGAGGCGGCTGGATCACAGGTCAGGAGTTTGAGACCAGCCTGGCCAATATGGTGAAACCCTGTCTCTACTAAAAATACAAAAATTAGTTGGGCATAGTGACATGCGCCTGTCATCCTAGCTGCTTGGGAGGCTGAGGCAGGAGAATTACTTGAACCTGGGAGGCAGACAGAGGTTGCAGTGAACCAAGATTGCGCCACTGCACTCCAGCCTGGGTGACAGAGTGAGACTCCGTCTCAAAAAATACAAAAAAAAAAAACAAAAAAAAACCACATGATATATATTTTTATCTTGCATTTTATCTTGCATAATTTTAGTATAACTTTTCCAGATGAACCAAAACCAAATATTACCTCCAAAAGATTGTTTTAAATTTCAAACCTGATAAAGAGAACTAAATATCTTCAGAAAGTTTTATAATTAACATCCCAACATCTGCATTATTTAAAACTTTGGGGCCAGGCATGGTGGCTCACACCTTTAATCCCAGCATTTGGGAGGCCAAGGCAAGTGGATCACCTGAGGTCAGGAGTTTGAGACCAGCCTGGCCAACATGGTGAAACCCTGTCTCTCCTGAAAAGTCAAAAAAATTAGCCGGACTTGGTGCCTGCCGTGTGTATGTAATCCCAGCTACATCACAAACAGTGGAATGAAAGAGTATCTCATAACACTTAAACCTAACTAGTTGTTTGTGATGAGTCCGATTAAATATAATAAACAAGAAGTTACTGTAACTGTAGTTAAAAAGTTGGTTTCAAAGGTATAGACTGTTGATTTCTTAAACTCAATGATGACATCTAAGAGAAGAAACAATAAACACTTGCAAGAACTTCATTTTTTGATGATGCCAGGACATGCACACACACTAAGATCCTTAGAGAATGGTAAATTTTTTCTTTACAAATATTAAATCCAATCTAAAATTGTACTGTTGTTTTCCTAATAGTTCTTCTTCATAATAATTTAAGACCCTGAAAGTTACCTGAATTTTAGGTAGCTCAATTCTCAGTTGATGTTATGACTCACTGGTAGAAATGTTCCACTTCTAAGAGCACAAATTATGTTCTATGTATATATCAGCTGCCCCTACCTAATAATTATGTACATACATACAAGGCAGAAACTTAAGACAAAGTGATATTTGGCAATATAAAATTCCTCTCAACCTCATTATATATGAAAGCATCAGCCTAACATTTGAAGTGTGCTACTGTTACATAAGAGTGTTTAATTATGTAAATAAATATTTGAAAACCTATAGACATAACACAAAGCCAACAGCAAGTTATGCCTCAGTTGCTACAAGAGTATAGATATCATATTAGAAGAGAAAAAACAATCCCAGAGTAGTGTGCAAGGCACCACCTACCATAGACCTGGGCTTGCTGATGGCCACCAGACTAGTGAGGAAGTCTTCATCGTGCAGCTGGCTGAAAACATGGGCGTCATAGGCTACCATAATGGAGATTTCTTCCATCATCTTGCCAGCTGGCCTTTCCACAGCAGCAGCTGCTGTCCCTGCTCCAGACCAGACTATCCAAGGAAAAATCCTACTGCAGTTCAGTGCCAGTGTACACACCCACCTGAGTTGGAGGGGGTGGAGTGTCAAAAATCAAGAAAGAAAAAGCGACTGCTATCATAGGCTTGGCTAGCAATTCACCCCCAGTAGGAAACTAAAGGAGGTTTCTTATCTTTGCAGGAAGTATACACTATAAACACCTTCTGCATTCTTAACAGAGAAGCTGGAAAATTCAATTTTTGGAAACCTTTAAACTTCAAAAAAGAAATAGTTTCCCAACTAGAAATATCTCATAACAATTAAAAAAAAAAGATCTGTGTTATGTTCTTGGTAATTAAAAATTTTCACAATAGCTCATCTTCTTACTTCAGTATTATTACATGAAGATTCTTCTTGAAGGAGAAGTAAATTTTCTTAGCATTCTTACTGATTATTTTTTCAAAATCTTAGAAAATAAACAGATGAAAACCATTTTAATTTCTCAGAATTTAAAGAATTCTTGGTGCAGTTACAAATGATATCCTGAAGTACAAAAAAAAAAAGATTATTTTTCCCCTCTGAGTATTTCTGTTAAAGAAAAAAATGCCAAAACATGAAAATGAAAGAGAGACAGCAATATCAATTAATAATCATTACTCCCTTTTCCTACTAAAAAAATAAGTATTTTAAGCATAATTTAGTTTTGTGTTGTTATTCAGTAAGCAATACAACGGTCTCATTTATAAACCAGTTGTTTTGCTCCCATAGATAAAATTTCTCTTCATCTTTTAAGGTTAGAGGTTTCTTTTAATTATTCAAATCAGTAGATAGCCATTAACTGTTGGTATCTTAGCCACCAGCAATGTTTTTTAAAATTACAGCTGGAGACTCTAAATGAACTGCCATATTTCCAGATGAAAAGTTTGAAAGCTGCCCATAATCATTATTACAAAGTTCCCTGATCAGGAAATATAATGTATACTAATTTCACAGAAAATGATGAAGCAAATAAAAATGAGGGGAAGACAGATTAGGCTGCTCTGAAGTTGTTCCTCAATATTCCTAATTAAGTTAATATCTTCCTTGCTTTTTCCAGATCATGACACTGCAATACTATTAGAAATATTATTTGTTAGAACTAGAAATCAATTTGGCAATGTTTGTCTAAAATCAAAAGACATAAGCTACTGGTTGAAATGGTTAGTCTTTATTACCAATAGCAGGATCGTGTTGTCCAAATTTGTTTGCTTCTCAAAAAACAAAACTCAGAATGAGATCTATAGTGTCTATTTTCCCATGTTTTCCAAAAGTTTTCTTTCATCTACAGTAACATGATTACTTATATAACACCTTGTCCCATTTAAATGTAATTAGTAGTTTTGCAACCGCAAAAGCACTGTAGCTTATTCTGAGAGCAAGCACAAGGAAGGAGGGAAAAGCACCTTATTGCTAGGAAACAAGCAAATCTAATAAGCTTATTTAAACAAAAAAAGCAATATTTTAAATAAATCCGCGAGATTAAAACAGCTTCAAACTGTGTTTGACCCTTGTTGGAGCCAGTAAAGGATTTTTACTTCATTTTTGTTCTACAATGCTGCTTTGTCTGTTAGGCATTACTTTCGTTAACATTTTCTTTCCTGCACATTCATACTGACGCTGACTAACCAGGTAAAAATTAGATGATAATCAGGAGACAAGGCATTATAAGGTATCCAGACAGTTCATACCTTTTAAATTACTTATCTTTTTAGAAGTACTTTAAAAGATACTGTGAACATCTTCATGCATTCACTAGCACCAGAAGATTTCAGATAATCTTGCAGCACCATTTTCTAGCTGTGAAAGCAATCCCTCTTGCTTTCATATTTTTCTTTGCTACACAGGGACTCAGTGCTTCCACACACGGATATCTGAATAAGGTGCACTAACAAAGACACCTGTTGTGGAAGGTAAAGAAAGTACTTCCCACAATGCCTTACTCCCTGCTGGCAACCACCCAGGGGCAAACAAGAGTTATAACCGCACTAGAGCAGCCTCCTGTGCACTCTGGGAGAGTGCATTCAGTGTAACCATAGGTAATCTTCTTGGTTACAAAGAACGCTTATAACCCAAAAGAAAAGGACCAGGAAAACAGTTTTAAATAGCACCTAGAGATGCTGTATATTAAATTCATAAAACATTTATGGCATCAGGCTATAAGAGTACGAAAAAAATGTTTTAAAAATAATCAAAGGCTGTAAAACTTAAGTTTATATACACAGAAACCAATAACTTCAAATAATTCAGTCCTTTTAGAATTCTACACAGATTCTTAGAAAAATGTTTTTAAAAGCATCTGTAATTTATAACCTTGAACAGATTGTTCTAATTAGCCACAATGACTAAAATTATTAGTAACGTGTCATTTCTAAACCCAAGTGGTCCTCTATTGCAGCTGTAGTGCACAGATTTTCTTGAGCAAGGACTCTCTAAGTTTGATTTGCAATCTTTACCTTTTGTTACCCTTAAAATGTTGCCTAAAATTTAGTTTACCTTCCAATGTATGTGAGGGAAAAATTCAAGGGTTTTTCCCCCTTATGGAGTTAAGTGTACTATACCTGTGGTTCCCATGAAAACTTGCTCTTTGAAAACTGATGATTAGCGAAACTGTCACTCTACTGCCATTTTCTCCAGTCTCAGAAATAACAGCTACACCAATACCCTCCCAAACTTCTGAAGCTATTGTACACAGTCATGTCTACACACTCTTGTTTTACCATCCCCCAAACCTTTGATTCCCGGGTTTGTTTACACCTGAGTTTCTGCAGTTATCGCCTTCACACCATGCAACTGCATTGGAAAAAAAAAAAGAGGCAGAAGGATGGAGAATTACCTGAGACTAAGGCTGTCGTATGGACAATACCATTTGCTGCTAAAACTTACCAGGAGAAGACTGAGTATCAAACAGGCAGCAGAAACCAAAGGCACTCCCGGTAACCAAATAGATGGTCCCCAGTTCAAGTAGGAACTAGCTGGCTGGCTGTCCCCAGGCAAGTCATTTGACTTCACTGGGTTTCAATTTCCTCATGGTCATGTAAATTGAGAGGAAGAGAATAGATCCCCGGTTTCCACACGTGTGCAGAAAGTAAAAAGCAATGTGTCCTATTCCTATTTCCCTCTATCAAATAGGTTTATTGGGATTTGAAGATGAGAATAACTTTTTAAGTCTCTATCAGAATAAAAAACAAAGGATTACATTAATCCCAGACATTAAGAAATCTCTGAGGGTTGTTATAATATACTCAACAAATACTAAGCATTTAGTTCCCTAGTTGGAATTTTTAAACATCACTGTTTTTCCTAAAAAAAGAGAATTCAGTGATAGTAATCGTACTTTTCATTAGTTACATTACTTTTCATAGTCTTTCTGTTCAAAGACCAAACTAGCTACAAAATAATTTTCAAAACCCTTTCTGGATCTTATTAAGAAAATGTAATATGAATAAAATATCTCCAATGATTTTTAAATGCTATTCTGAGATTTTACACTGAAAGAGTATCCAAGACTAGTAGCTAATTTTGTCCCAACAGTCAGCCTTGTAGAACTGTTCTTTTTAACAAAAGCATACCTGGGTCATACTAAGAGTCAAATAAACCATTTATTCCCAAGTGTCAAATTTAGAAACAGCCAAAACAAAAATCAAGAAGAGCTTGAATAAGATGTGGCTATTTTTCTATTGCTGTGTTCTCCCCAAGGCAGCAAAGCAAAGTAGTTTCATTATGCGAGTGGTATTTTGTTATTCAACAGTCAAAGCAGCAAACATGGTAAAAAAGGGATCTCACCTCATAAAAATTATCTCACCTCAGAAGCGTGGATGTCAAGAGTCAAGACCCTTTTCCTAAATCTCATATTCTACTTGTTAAATATTCTCATCACGTCAGCCATAAAATCAGGATCAGATGGAAAGAATGACAAAACAACTATAAGAGAAATATGGTTTGGAGGGCAGAAAGGTCTTCTGCAACCCCCACATAGATGGGTGGAGCCCTGAACAAACTCAGCTCCTCCTACATGACTGGCCCTCCTCTAATTTTTCAAGAACATTCTTCCAGATGTTCCTAAATAACTCAATGTAAACATTCACAAAGTATACATGACTCAATGTTGAGGATCTCCAAAATGACAAAATGTTCAGTGTTCACAGAGATAAAGAACTATCAGAAAGGCTGGGCATGGTGGCTCATACCCATAATCCCAGAATTTTGACAGACCAAGACAGGAGGATTGCCTGAGCCCAGTAGTATAAAACCAGCCTGGACAACAAAGTGAGACTACATCTCCCCCACAAAAAACTTAAAAATCAGCCAGGCATGGTAGCAAGTTCCTGTAGTCCCAGCTATTTGCTGGGAGCCCAGGAGGATCAGGCTACAGTGAACTGCAATTGTGCCACTATACTCCAGCCCGGGTGAGAGAGTAAGATGCTGTCTTTTAAAAAAGAAAAAGAAAAAAAGAAAGAACTATAGAAAATCAATATTCTAAGCAGGGTTTCTATCTACTCTAAGCAGTGTACATTACAAACCCATGTGCTCTAAGTGAGGTAACAAAAGAGAAAATATGAATGAGAAACCATAGAAATATCAGTAGAAGAACGCTTTTCAGAATATTTTGTATTTCAGAATAGTCTAGTAACACCTACTGAGTTTTTACAATGGGAAAAGAACAAGTAAAAGATAAATAAACTTGTTCTCTTTAAAATTATGCAAAGGTAAATAAAGAACACCATTATTCTTGTGTTGGATACCAGCCATTCAGCTCATTATCTTTCCTATCTCTCCTAGCAGTTGCTAGGAAAATTCAAAACCTCACAAAACAGATTCTTCAAAAAAAGAAAAATACCAGCATTAAACTCCAAAGAGAAAAACCAGTGGGACATAAATACTTGCTTAACAGGTATACTGGTTATCTAATCTTGCTGTCTCATTTGTAACTCAGCACAGAGAATGAGGGTGAGGTAGATTCTACACTGTGAAAGAATAGATGCAACTCTTAACAATTCAGTTTTTTACCTCATTTGAAACTAAAATCCACGGCCACACATTCACATTAAATTTTACCTAACCAAAGGTAAATGTGTCAACTGATATTTGCTATCACCCAAAATGAAGATAGTTTCACATACACCTGAAAACATGAGTAATGCTTCATTTTGTCTCATTTTGAGTAGAGTGTACAACTGAATTCTAATTATGAATAACAATACATTCATTTTTAAAGTATTCAAATAATTATTTTAAATATTTTTCTAACAACCAAATGAAACAATTTCAGATGATATTCATTTTTTCATAAGATTGGAAGGTGGATTTAGGGAACAGCAATAGGGTTTCATGCAAGTGCCCATTTCACTCAAGTTTTTCTCCCAGCCTGGATAACTCCCTTTCCAGTGGGACCTCACATGCCTGCATTATGTTATATACTGGCAGCTTGCAGCAGGGTACTTGGCTAAAATCCTGCAGTTAAAACCTGGTAAGTTCGATGGCAGTAAATTAAATATTAATTTATATTAAAAAAGCAACTCAGGCCAGGCGCAATGGCTCACGCCCATAATCCCAGCACTTTGGAAGGCCGAGGCGGGATCACAATGTCAGGAGTTTGGGACCACCCTGGCCAACATGGTGAAACCTCATCTCTACTAAAAATTAAAAAAGTAGCTGGGCGTGGTGGCTCACACCTGTATTCCAAGCAATTTGGGAGGCCGAGGCAGGCAGATCCCTGAGGTCAGGAGTTCAAGACCAGCCTGGCCAATGTGGAGTAACCTCGCCTCTACTAAAAATATAAAATTAGCTAGGTGTGGTGGCGCATGCCTGTAATCCCAGCTACTTACTTGGGAGGCTGAGGCAGGAGAATCGCTTGAACCCGGAAGGCAGAGATTGTGGTGAGCCAAGATCACACCACTGCATTCCAGGGCCGGTAACAAGAATGAAACTGTCTCAATCAATCAATCGTTCGATCAATCAATCCATTGGGTGTGTTAGCTCACGCCTGTAATCTCAGCTATTCTGGAGCTTGCGGCGGGAGAATCACTTGAACCTGGGAGGTGGAGGTTGCAGTGAGCCGAGATCACGCCACTGCACTCCAGCCTGGGTGACAAAGCAAGACTCTGTATCAAAAAAAAAAAAAAAAAAAGCCGGGTTCGATGGCTCATGCCTGTAATCCCAGCACTTTGGGAGGCCGAGGCGGGCAGATCATGAGGTCAAGAGATAGAGACCATCCTGGCCAACGTGCTGAAACCCTGTCTCTACTAAAATACAAAAAAAGTACCTGGGTGTTGTGGTATGCTCCTTTAGTCCCCACTATTCAGGAGGCTGAGGCAGGGGAATTGCTTGAACCCTGGCAGCGGAGGATGCCGTGAACCAAGACCGTGCCACTGTACTACAGCCTGGGCTACAGAGCAAGACTCTGACTCAAAAAAAAAAAAAATTCAATTCAACATTTACTAAATGCTTATAATATATATATAAGGGGAATTACAGATTTTGTAATATAGTAATACAAATAATCTATTTTTTTTTCTTTTCTTTTCTTTTCTTTTTTTTTTTTGAGACAGAGTCTCACTCTGTCACCCAGGCTGGGTTGGAGTACAGTAGTATGATCTGGCTCAATGAAACTTCCACCTCCCAGGTTCAAACGATTCTCCTGCCTCAGCCTCCTGAGTAGCTGGGATTACAAGCATGTGACACCATGCCCGGCTAATTTTTGTATTTTTAGTAGAGATGGGGTTTCGCTGTGTTGGCCAGGCTGGTCTTGAACTCCTGACCTCAAGTGATCCACCTGCCTTGGCCCCCTAAAGTGCTGGGATTACAGGCATGAGCCACTGTGCCTGGCCTTTTTTTTCTTTTTTTGAAATGGAGATTGCTCTTATTGCCCAGACTGGAGGGCAATGGCGTGATCTCAGCTCAATGCAACCTCCACCTCCTGATCAAGTGATTCTCTTGCCTTAGCCTCCCAAGTAGCTGGGGTTACAGGCATGCGCCACCACGCCTGGCTAATTTTGTATTTTTTAGTAGAGACGAGGTTTCTCCAGGTTGGTCAGGCTAGTGTCAAACTCCCATTCTCAGGTGATTCACCCGCCTTGGCCTCCCAAAATGCTGGAATTACAAGTGTTAGCCACGGTGCCCAGTTCAAATAATGTATTTATAACAATGAATATTTACTAAAAAACTTATAATAGTGACAGCTAATATTTAGTAAGTATTCACTATGTCCTAGACACAGAATCTCATTTATCTTCACTATAAGTCAATAAACTAGATACCATAATTATTCCTTTTCTGTAGATAATTAACATATAAAGAAGTTTTGTGATTTGACTCAATACCTACAGCTAGAAATAGAGCTGCTAGGATTCAAAACATAGGTGTGTCTGTTTCTAGTGTGTACGCTAAAGGATAAGGGAAGTAGGCAAACATATACCAGAATCAGCCATGTGCCAAACACTGCTGCATCTCAAACACTGATGTCTCATTCACACACATACACAGGTTACAGACTATAAAACAAGCTATGTCTATCATGTAATACAATAATTAGTGATATAGGACTGTAACAGAATGAAGTTCCTCTACAGATAAGGAAGCCTTCATGGAAAAGATGGACTGATTTTAGATAGGCAAAGTGAAATAAGTTTTTATAGGGAAAAATGAATTTAGAACGACCAGAGTGGTAAACTGATACTGGACACAGTAGAAGTTTCAAAGGCAGATTTAAATTAGCCTATGGTAGGTTTCAAATATCAGGTCAACAAATTAGGGCAAAGCCAGTCATTGAAGACTACTAAATTTCTGCCTTTCTAGCTTCCATTTATGCCATCAGAAAAATTAAGTATAATGATTAACACATGGGCTCCAGAATTTAGAATAACCTGGTTTGATACCTGGCTCTACCACTTACTGGCTGTGTGTCTCAGTCTGTTTGCACTGCTACTGCAACAATATACCATAAACTAGACAACTTATAAACAACACAGAAATTTATTTATCACATTTCTGGAAGGTGGAAGATTAAGGTGCTGGTGGGATTTGGTGTCTGGTGGGAGCCCGTTGTCTAGTCATAGGCAGTGGTCTTCTCTCTGTCCTCACAAGGTGGAATGAGGAAGGGGTCTCCCTGGAGTCTTTTACAAGGTGGAATGAGGAAGGGGTCTCCCTGGAGTCTTTTTTATAAGGGCACTAATCCCATTCAAGAGAGCTGAACCCTCATGACCGAATCACTATTCAAAGGCCCCATCTCTTAATATCATCACATTTGGGTATTTCAACATGTGAATTTTGGGGGGACACAAATGTTCAGTCTATAGCAGCAACCACAAGCAAATTACATAAGTTGTTTCACTCCTTGGTTTTCTCATCTGTATTAGTCCATTTTCATATTGCTATAAAGAAAAACCCTGAGACCAGGTAATTTATAAAGGAAAGAGTTTTAATTGGCTCATAGTCCCACATGGCTGGGGAGGCCTTGGGAAACTTATAATCATGGCAGAAAGTGAAGGGAAAGCAAGGATCTTCACATGGCAGCATGATAGAGAAGTGAAAGCAGGGGAAATGCCAGACGCTTGTGAAACCATCAGATCTCATGAGAACTCACTCACAATTACGAGAACAGCATGGGGGAACCACCCCCACGATCCAATCACTTCCCTCCCTGGACATGAGGGGATTACAATTTGAGATGGGATTTGAGCAGGGACACAGAGCCAAACCATATCATCATCCACAAAATGAGAAAATAGTAACAGTGCAGTGAAGTACCTGACTTTGGAAAGCATTTGATTGATGTTGGTTGTTATTATCAACATTATTAAAAATAATGTACAGAGGGGCAAGATTATTTGATGAAAACCAAAGAAAAGATGAAATTGCAACCTTTAGAAACGGGGAAGGGAGTGAGGTTATTATGATACAAGAACAAAACCAATGCCTCCATTTTTTTTTCTATTTCCTTGTCCACAAGGGACAAATAAAGGTGTCACATAATTTTACTCCTCTACCAATTTTCCCTAACCAACTAAATCTTTCTAGATGCTGCTTTATTTGGGGGTAATTTGGTAATTTATATGAGTCCTTCCGTCAGAAATGATTGAGACAGGTTAGTGGAGGTGAAACTTGATAGGGAGGTCTGGACGGGGTGCAGGGGTGGGGGCACAATCTCCTATAGTTTGCTGCCCTCTCCAGTTTCCTGACTACAATGCAAACAGAAATTAATCAATTACCTCTTATTAAATTGAGCAACTGGCCAGGCGCGGTGGCTTATGCCTATAATCTCAGCACTTTGGGAGGCCGAGGTGGGCAGATCACAAGGTCAAGAGATCGAGACCATCCTGGCCAACATGGTGAAACCCTAGCTCTACTAAAAATACAAAAATTAGCCAGGCATGGTGGCACACTCCTGTGGTCCCAGCTACTTGGGAGGCTGAGGCAGAAGAATCACTTGAACCCAGGAGGTGGAGGTTGCAATGAGCTGGGACTGTGCCACTGCACTCCAGCCTGGCGACAGAGCAAGACTCCATCTCAAAAAAAAAGAAAAAAAAAAATGAGCAACTGTGAGAATAGGGGGGGAAAAGAAGCACTTTGGAAGGCTGAGGCAGGCGAATTGCTTGAAGTCAGGAGTTTGAGACCAGCCTGGCCAACATGGAAAAACCCCATCTCTATTACTAAAAATACAAAAATTAGCCAGGCATGGTGGCATGCACCTGTAATTCCAGCTACTTGGGAAGCTAAGGGAGTAGAATCACTTGAACCCAGGAGGTGGAGGTTGCAGTGAGCCGAGATCACACCACTGCACTCCAGCCTGGGTGACAGAGCAAGGCTCTGTCTCTAATAAATAAATAAATAAAGTCAAACTACTACTAAATGACAGTTATGATTAAACCCAAATATGTGATTACAAAGGCTCAGGTTGTTTTTTTTCCCCCACCTACAAGAAGTTTATCATAAATGAAGAGAAAAGAAAGGAGATTCAATTCACTTATGAATAGCCAACTTGGAAATCCTGAAATAGAAGTTGTAAAATTTCCAAAGGTAGACTGTATATTTCTCTTCTCTTAGTATTTTGCTCTTAATATTGTATCATTATATAATGAAAATACAGGCTGAAAATTTATATTGCATCCAATAGTATTTATCTATCTTTTTTTTTTTTTTTTTTTGAGACAGAGTCTTGTTCTGTCGCCCAGGCTGGAGTGCAGTGGCCTGATCTCGGCTCACTTGCAACCTCCACCTCCTGGATTCAAGCGATTCTCCTGCCTCAGCTTCCCCAGTAGCTGGGATTACAGGTATGTGCCACCATGCCTGGCTAATTTTTATATTTTTAGTAGAGATGTGGTTTCAACCATGTTGGCCAGGCTGGTCTCAAACTCCTGACTTCATGATCTGTCCACCTTGGCCTTCCAAAGTGCTGGGATTACAGGCATGAGCAACCGTGCTTGGCTATCTATTATTTTTGAGATAGGATTTCTCTCTGTTGCCCAGGCTGGAGTGCAGTGATGCATACACAGCTCACTGCAGCCTCAACCTCCTGGGCTCAAATGATCCTCCCACCTCAGCCTCCAGAGTAACTGGGACTACAGGTGCCACCATTGTCAGCTAATTTTTACATTAATTTTTTTTTTTTGAGACAGGGTCTCGCTATTGTCCAGGATGGAGTACTGTGGCCTGATCATAGCTCACTGCAGCCTCGACCTTCCAGGCTCAGTCTCCCAAGTAGCTAGGACTACAGGCATGTATCACCAAGCCTGGCTGATTTTTTTGCATTTTTAGTTGAGATGGGGGTTTCACCATGTTGCCCATGCTGGTCTCGAACTTCTGAACTCAAGCCATTTACCCACCTCGGCTTCCCAAAGTGCTAGGATGACAGGTGTGAGCCACCATGCCTGGACTGCAGTAGTATTTATTATATAAGGCATTTGCAAATATGAAGAGAAAGAAGACTGAAGGGAATTTATCAATTTCTCCTGAAGTTACTGATGAGTGCAATACACATATTAACAGACTGCTATAATAGAAAATATCATGTGAATTGCGGCAGCATTTCGTCAGTGATGGTTTCCATGATGTTAAAAATTGGCTACAACAGTCAATTGCTTAATGGTCTCAAAATAAAATAATAAAAAGATTTTCATAATTTTAAAACAGCTGTCATGGTGTCAGTGGCAACACCTAGAACATTCGAATTTCATTCAATGACAGTTTTTAATGTTAAATCTAAACTATGTCTTTATATTTTATAAATAGATATAGAGGGAAAGATGAGAGAAGGAGAAAAAAGAAATGTTATCGTTGAAGTTAAACTCCTTGAATGTTGGCATGCTGGCATATCTCTCGCTCTCTATAGCACGCGCTCTCTCTCTCTCTCCCTCCCTCCCTCCCTCTCCCCTCCTCTCCTTCACTCTCTCTGAAATATATGTATCTCTTAGAAATTATTTTTGTCCTAAACTGTTTGGCACATATTGTCTTTGTATCAGGTAACTTACTAATTATAAATCTTTAAACTTAACTCTGGTTAGCCTACATTGTTCTCTTTGTACAGGGACACAATGCAAATGAGATATGCATTTACAATTAGGATATGAACATGATACATCCAGTCTTACCGACTGCACTTTATAAATAAGCTCTATATTAGCCAATTATAGATGAAACGTTCTATCATGTTTAGTTATTATAGCTACTAATATTCTAATATTGCCTTTTTTTCTTTTTTTTTTTTTAAGTTACAGGTCTTGCTATGTTGCCTAGGCCACACTTGAGTTCCTGGGCTAAGCAATCTTCTCATTGCAGCCTCCCGAGTGGGTGAGACCACAGGCACAAGTTACTGTGCTTGGCAATATTGCTTTAAAAACACTTTATTTTATGATAGAGTAATGTTTTCTGAAGATAGTCCATTAAAACAAAAAACCTCTGATTTGTATAGAGTTTAATAAATCATTACAGAAAATGATATCTTTTTTTTTTTTTTTTTTAAGATGGGGTTTCACCATATTGTTCAGGCTGGTCTTGAACTCCTGATCTCAGGTGATCCACCAGCCTCAGCCTCCCAAAGTGCTAGGATTACAGGCGTGAGCCACCACACCCAGCAGAAAATGGTATCTTAGGAGTTCTCGCATGTGAAAGAAAATATGCTATAAATTTGCCCAAAGCGTCTCTGAAAGATAGAATTGTAAAGGAGCCATTTTGTAAAGGAGCTTCATTCTGAGACAAAAGTAACTCTTTGAAAGCACAGTTTCTCTTTAATGCAGATTTGCTTAACGCTATTAATATAAGTTGCCTGTGTTCTTTTTTTTGAGATGAAGTCTGGTTCTGTCACCCAGCTGGAATAAAGTGGTACCACCTCGGCTCACTGCAACCTCCACCTCCCAGGTTCAAGCAATCCCCCTGCCTCAGCCTCCCAAGTAGCTAGCATTACAGGCGTGTGCCATCACACCCAACTATGTGTTTTTACTGCTAATATTTTTGTGCAAGTGGCAAATGGTGTTTTTGTTTGTTTGTTTGTTTGTTTGTTTGTTTTTGAGAAAGGGTCTCACTCTGTCACCCAGATTGGAGTGCAGTGGCATGATCTCTTGGCTTACTGCAGCCTCAAACTTCTCAGGTTCATGTGATCCTCCCATTTCAGCCTCCCAAATAGCTGGGACCACAGGTGTATGCCACCACATCTGGCTAATTTTTGTATGTTTTGTAGAGACAGGGTTTTGCAATGTTGTCTGGGCTAGTCTCAAATTCTTGAGCTCAGGGGATTTTCTCCCTTAGCTTCCCAAAGTGCTGAGATTACAGGAGGGAGCCACCATGCTAGCCTGGTGCAAATGGTCTTTAATGTCTCAATACCACAGAATGCAAAGGGTGCAGTAAACAAATTTGCTGGTATTTTGGTTTTGTGTGTTTGTTTGTTTGAGACAGAGTCTCGCTCTGTTACCCAGGCTGGAATGCAGTGTCGCAATCTTGTCTCACAGTTACCTCCGCCTCCTGTGTTCAAGCGATTCTCCTGTCTCAGCCTCCTGAGTAGCTGGGACTACAGATGCACATCACCACGCCCAACTAATTTTTTGTAGTTTTAGTAGAGACATGGTTTCAACACGTTGGCCAGGATGGTCTTGATCTCCTGACCTCGTGATCTGCCCGCCTTGGCCTCCCAAAGTGTTGGGATTACAGGTATGAGTGACAGCATCCAGCAGTATTTTGCTTTTACTTCAGGGCAGTTGAACAGAAACACAGTTGATATGGTTTGGCTGTGTCCCCACTCAAAGTTGCATGTTAAATTGTAATCCAAATTGTAATCCCCATGTGTCTGGGGAAGGACCTCATGGGAGCTTATTAGATCATGGGAATGGCTCCCATGATCTAATAAGTGATTAGATTTGTTCTTGTGATTGTGAATGAGTTCTCACAAGATCTGATGTTTTTAGAGGGGGCTTTTCCCGCTTTTGCTATCATTCTTCTCCTTCCTGCTACCATGTAAAGAAGGACATGTCTGCTTCCCTTTCTCCCATAATTTTAAGTTTCCTGAGATCTCCTCAGCCATGCTGAACTGTGAGTCCATTAAACATCTTTCCATTATAAATTACTCAGTCTCTGTTATGTCTTTATTAGCAGCGTGACAATGAACTAATACAAGAGTGAAGAAAATAAGTCTGAGATTTGGATAATAATACAGCTTTATATGTCATGGTGGGGAGACTTAATCTCAGACAAGTAAACACACTGTGGCTAAATGAAGTGTGACAGGACACTGCAAAATGACAATACCACTCACGCCCTCAAACCTTAGAACACCCTTAGCTCAGATGACTCTTCTGAGATACTTCTGGGTCAAACAACCAAAAGTAAAACCATCATATGTAAGTAATAGAACTACTTCAATTTAATTTCTAAATTCCTTCTCCTAAAACCTTAATATATTTCCTCTAAAAGAATTAGCATAGCATTAAAAAGCAATATTACAGAATTCTGTATCCAGGGAATCAGAAAACATTTCTTTTCTTTTTTTTTCTAAGACAAAGTCTTGCTCTGTCACCCAAGCTGGAGTGCAGTGGCACAATCTTGGCTCACTGCAACCTCTGCCTCCTGGGTTCAAGTGACGTTCCTGCCTCAGCCTCTCATGTACCTGGGACTACAGGTATGTCCACCACGCCCGGCAAATGTTTGTAATTTTAATTATAAGAATACAGAGGCTGGGCATGGTGGCTCACACCTATAATCCCAGCACTTTGGAAGGCTCAGGCGGGTGGATCACGAGGTCAGGAGATCAAGACCATCTTGGTCAACATGGAGAAATCCCATCTCTACTAAAAATACAAAAATTAACCGGGTGTCGTGGTACGTGCCTGTAGTTCCAGCTACTCTGGAGGCTGAGGCAAGAGAATCGCTTGAACCCGGGAGGGGGAGGTTGCAGTGAGCCGAGATCACGCCACTGCACTCCAATCTGGTGACAGATGAGACTCCGTCTCAAAAAAAAAAAAAATGCAGAAATCAGAAGAAATAACAAAGTGAAACAACTTCCTCTTGGATTTGATGGTTAATACATAAATATATAAATTTAAAATAAATTAAGTCCTTCAAGCCTTTATTAGATAACTAGGTCCATTAGTTATTTACGCAGTTGCTAAGCAACGTTCTCTTCTGTAGGACTAAAGTGCATGAAATTAGCAGGTTTTCAGGAAAAGATAAATTGAATGAAAAATTAGGGAACAGCCAAAAGGAAAAAGCATTAACTTGCTAATTAGGCTGTAAGAGAGGTTTAGTGAGTTTTAGCAATAGTTTTTACGCATTTCATTTTCCACTAGCACCAAATGAGATGGGACATTAACACATTAATATTTTAATTTTATTGAAACAGTGATCATTATACCCACTTCTACACTTAAAAGCTTTTTTATATCATTAAGGTATTGGATCAGGACAACTGGGATAACCTGATCCAATGCCCCAGTCACTATACTACTAACCATGATCTCCATAGATCCCTTTCTCTGACAGTACTGTTTTTCAAATCACCAGTTCCAGGGTATGTCACACCCCTGGGTTTGTGCTTTAAAACTTTTGTTGTAACATGAAATCAGTAAAGCTACAGCTTCATAATGCTGCTTAGAAACTACTAGATTTCTCTTTGACAAGGGCGCCGAGAATACACAATGGGGAAAGGATAGTCTTTCCAAGAAATGGTGCTGGAAAAACTGGATCTCCACATGCAAGGTGATGAAACTGGACCCTTATCTTATACCATAACAAATATTAATGTGAAATATTTAGAGACTTAAATGTAAGACCTGAAACCACGAAACTCCTAGGAGAAAACTTAAGGGAAAAACTCCTTTACACTGGTTTTGGCGATGATTTTTTTGACACAAGCACAGGCAATAAAAGCAAAACTAAACACATGGGACTACATCAAACTAAAAACCTTCTGCACAGCAAAGGAAACAGTCAACAAAATGAAAACGGAACCTAGAAAATGGAAGAAAATGTTTCCAAACTACATATCTCATGAGGGGTTAATATTCAAAATAAATAAAGAATTCATATCTCGGCCAGGTGCAGCAGCTGCCGCCTATAATCCCAGCACTTTGGGAGGCTGAGGCGGGCAGATCACGAAGTCTGCAGTTTGAGACCAGTCTGGCCAACATGGTGAAACCCATCTCTACTAAAAATACAAAAATTAGCTGGGCATTGTGGTAAGCACCTGTAGTCCCAGATACTTGGGAGGCTGAGACAGGAAAATTGCTTGAACCCGGGAGGCAGAGGTTGCAGTGAGCCGAGATCCCACCACTGCACTCCAGCCTGGTGACAGAGCGAGACTCCGACTAAAAAAAAATAGTAACAATTCATATCTCAAGAGCAAAACACCAAATAATCCAATTTTTAAATGGGCAAAAATCCTGAATTTTCCCAAAGAAGTCATAAATATAGCCAGCAAGAAAACAAGCAATGGAGAAAGCATTCCATGTTTAATAAATGGTGTTGGAAAAACTGGCTAGCCATGTGCAGAAAGCTGAAACTGGACCCCTTCCTTACACCTTATACAAAAATTAACTCCAGATAGATTAAAGATTTAAACATAAGACCTAACACCATAAAAACCCTAGAAGAAAACCTAGGCAAAACCATTCAGTTCATAGGCATAGGCAAGGACTTCATGACTAAAACACCAAAAGCAGTGGCAACGAAAGCCAACATAGACAAACGGGATCTAATTAAACTTCAGAGCTTTAGCACAGCAAAAGAAACAAACATTAGAGTGAACCAGCAACCAACAGAATGGGAAAAAAATTTTTGCAAGCTACCCATCTGACAAAGGGCTAATATCCAGGATCTACAAAGAACTAAAACAAATTTACAAGAAAAAAACCAGACAACCCCATCAAAAAGTGGGCAAAGGATATGAACAGACACTTTTCAAAAGAAGACATTTATGTGGCCAACAAACATATGAAAAAATGCTCATCACTGGTCATTAGAGAAACGTAAATCAAAACCACATTGAGATACCATCTCACGCCAGTTAGAATGGCAATCATTAAAAATTCTGGAGACAACAGATGCTGGAGAGGATATAGAGAAATAGGAAAACTTTTACACTGTTGATGGGAGTGTAAGTTAGTTCAACCATTGTGGAAGATAGTCTGGTGATTCCTCAAGGATCTAGAAATAGAAATTCCATTTGACCCAGCAATCCCATTACTAGGTATATACCCAAAGGATTATAAATTGTTTTATTATAAAGACACATGCACACGTATGTTCACTGTGGCAGTGTTTACAATCGCAAAGACCTGGAACCAACCAAATGCCCATCAATGATAGACTGGATAAAGAAAATGTGGCACATATACACCATGGAATACTATGCAGCCATAAAAAAGAATGAGTTCATGTCCTCTGCAGGGACATGGATGAATCTGGAAACCATCATTCTCAGCAAACTGAAACAAGAACAGAAAACCAAACACCGCATATTCTCTCATAGGTGGGTATTGAACAATGAGAACACATGGACACAGGGAGGGTAACATCACACACTGGGGTCTGTTGGGGAATAGGGGTCTATGGGAGGGATAGCGGGGGTCAGGAGGTTGGAGAGGGATAACTTTGGGAGAAATACCTAATGTAGGTGATGAGGGGATGGAGGCAGCAAACCACCATGGCATGTCTGTAGCTATGTAACAGTCCTGCAAGATCTGCACATGTACCCCAGAACTTAAAGTATAATGAAAGACAGAAAGAAAGAAAGAAAGAGAGAGAGAGAGAAAGAGAGAGAAAGAGAGAGAGAGAGAGAGGGAAAGAAAGAAAGAAAGAAGAAAGAAAGAAAGAAAGAAAGAAAGAAAGAAAGAAAGAAAGAAAGAAAGAAGAAAGAAAAAAGAGTGCTCAACATAACTAATCATCAGGGAAATACAAATCAAAACCATGAAATATTACCTCACACCTGTTAGGAGAGTCATTATTAAAAAGAACAAGAGATAACAAATGTTAGTGAGGATATGGAAAAAAGAGAACCTTTATAGACTTTTGGTGGAAATGTAAATTGGCCCAGCTACTATGAAAAACAGTACGAGAGTCTTCAAAAATAAAAAATAGAACTATTGGTAAAAAAAAGAACTATCGTATAATTCAGCAATCCCACTTCTGGGTAGGTAACCAAAGGACATGAAATCGGCAGAGTATCTTGAAGAGATATTTTCACTCCTACATTCGTTGCAGAATTATTCACAATGGCCAAGATATAAGAAATAACCTAAGTATCTGTTGATGGATACTTAGGTTATTTCTTACATCTTGGCCAGTGGATACAGAAAACGTGGTGCATATATCTATGTTATATATAATGGAATATTATTCAGTCATAAAAAAGTAGGAAATCCTGCCCTTCATGACAACATGGATGAATCTGGAAGACACTGTGCTATGTCAAATAAGCCAGACACAGAAAGACAAATATTGTATAACTTCAGTTACATGTGGAATCTAAAAATGTCAAACTCAGGAAAGCAGAGAATAGAATGGTGGTTGCCCCATGTTGGGGGATAAGATAGAAGGAGAGATGTTGCTCAAAGGGCCCAAATTTCAGTGATAAGATGATAAAGTTCTGGGGATCTAATATACAGTAGTATGGTGACTATAAGTTAATGATACTATACTGCATATCGAAGTTTGGAAAGGGACATCTAGATTTGCTAACTCATAAGTGTTCTTACCATACATATACACACACATACACGTTAACTATATGGGGTATTGGGCTGGGTGCAGCGGCTCACGCCTATAATCCCAGCACTTTGGGAGGCCGAGGCAGGCAGATCATGAGGTCAAGAGATTGAGACCATCCTGGCCAACATGGTGAAACCCCATCTCTACTAAACATACAAAAATTAGCCGGGCATGTTGGCAGATGCCTGTAGTACCAGCTACTCAGGAGGCTGAGGCAGGAGAATTGCTTGAACCCCGGGAGACGGAGGTTGCAGTGAGCTGAGATCACTCCACTGCATTCCAGCCCGGTGACAGAGGGAGACTCCGTCTCAAACAAAAACAAAAACAAAAACAAAAACAACTATATGGGGTATTGCATGTGTTAATTAGCTTGACTGTGATAATTATTTCACAATGTATGCATATATCAAATCATCATGTTATATACCTTAAATACAAATAATTTCTCTTTGTCAATTACATCTCAAAAAAGCTGGGAGTGGGGGAAAAAAACTATTAGATCCCTAAAAAATTTGTTGTTTACTATCAGCATTTTGGAATAACCTTTTTTTTTTTGGCAGATCTTACAATATTAATTCAATAAATAAAAAGGAAGTTGTTTAATCTACTGGGTATAACCATGAAAACTCATTGAAAAGGAAACAGGAAAATAACTGAAGGGAAAATTACTGTGGAATTTCAAATTCCACAGTGAAGGAAGGAGACTGAAAGTAGAATATATAGTTTTATTTTGAGGACTCAAGAGAAAATTCCCCACCCTACCTCTCTACTTGTCTTCTTCATTTTTGAAAACTGATTTGATTTTTAGATTTTTTATTTTTGAGATAGGATCTTGCTCTGTCACCCAGGTTGGAGTGTAGTGGCCTGATCACAGCTCACTGCAACCTTGACTTTCTGGGCTCAAGCAATCCTGCCTCAGCCTCCTAAGTAGCTGGGACAGTAGGTGTATACCACTGGGGATGGCTGAGATATATACGCATAAAATATCCTCCCACCTCAGCCTCCCTAGTCATTTTTTTATTCTGTTGCAAGTTGTGTAAATAGTGCCAGGATGCAATTTCTAATCCCCTTATTCACGAAATCATTTTCTCCTTGATTTTCTTAAAGTCTATATTGAACAAACCTTGATACAAAAGCTAGTGAGGGCCTTAAAAGAACCACAGAAAGAACCTACATTTGTGATGAATTTTGTCATCACAAATGGAGCCTTGTGTCTGGGTTGTGATCATATAATCACGCCTCCTTGTATTAATTCTTCAAAATATACCACATAGCTTAGATCATGAGGCTCTTACTTTATTTGAAAAAAAAAAAAGCATTAGACTAAATGATTGGTGAAGTCTACTGAAATTTAACAGCCCATGACACCATATTAAAGCATACTGACATATAAGAATTATTTCTTTTCTTCTTTTTTTTTAAGTTAAGAGGTACTGTACAGGATGTGCAGGTTTGTTACATAGGCAAATGTGTGTCACGGGGGTTTCTTTGTACAGAGTATTTCATCACCCAGGTATGAAGTTTAGTATCCATTAGTTATTTTTCCTGATCCTCTCCCTCCTACCTTCTGCTCTCCAGTAGTCCCCAGTGTGTGACCATCATCTAGCACCCACTTATAAGTGAGAACATGCAGTACTCCGCGTTAGTTTGCTAAGAGTAATGTCCCTGCAAAGGACACGATCTAATTTGGCTGCACAGTATTCCATGGTGTATATGTACCACATTTTCTTTATCCAGTCTATCACTGATGGGCATTTAAGTTGATTCCATGTCTTTGCTATTGTGAACAGTATTGCAATGAATATATGCAAGCATGTGTTTTATAATAGAATGATTCATATTACTTTTGACATATACCCAGTAACGGGATTATTCTTTCCACAATGGTTGAACTAATTTACACTCCCATTAACAGTGTAAAAGTATTCCTTTTTCTCAACAATTTCACCAGCATATGTTATTTTTTGACTTTTTAGTAGTAGCCAGAATTCTTACTTTTTGAAGATTATTTAATCTTTAAACCTTATCAGATGGGACACTTATTACCAGATAGTAGGATCTTTTGCTTTCTTTTTTGTTTTCCTGCTTTGTTTTTTGTTTTCCATATCAGACTCAAGAATCCATTGTGGAAGTCTAATAGTCTAGTTAAAGATAACAGGCCAAGAGTTAGCAAGCACTTTTTAATGGTGCACATGGCTGAACTATGACATTGTAATAACCTTCATTTTATTTTCACAATCTCCAGAATTAAATATGAGAAGACACTCCCAAATCACAGAACTCTTATGTTGAGTCACAGAGTCACATATGGAAGTTTTTCAATCTTGGCACTGTCAGTATTTTGGAATGGGTGATTCTTTGTTGCGGGGAGCTATCTTGCATTTTAAGATGCTTTGCACAGTCATTGGTCTCTACACATTAGATAGCAGTAGCATCTCACACCGCAAGGTTGTGACAATCAAAATATTTTCCAGACGTTGCTAAATGTCTCCTCAGAGCAAAACCACCCCCTATTGAGAACCATGGATATACAGTATATTAAAATTACTGGTAAAGTGCAGTGGCTTATGCCTGTAATTCAAGTACTTTGAGAGGCCAAGGGCAGGAGGATGACCTGAACCCAGGAGTTCAAGACCAGCATCAGTAATATAGAGAGATCTCATCTCTACAATTTTTTTTTTTTAAATTAGACCATCATGGTGGCACATGCCTGTAATCCCAACTACTCAGGAGGCTGAGGTGGGAGGATCAATTGAGCCTGGGAGTTTGAAGCTGCAATGAGTGCCACTACTTTCCAGCCTGGGTGACAAAGTGAGACCCTGTCTCAAAATAAAACAATAAAATAAAATAAAATCATAGAGAGGAGTTATTTGTCACTGCAAATTAACTTCTAACTATCAGACTCTTAAAAATATTTTTTATGATTTCAGATCAATCTGATACTGTTTCAGACCCTACTGAAAATTGTCAGTAAATGAGTCACTGAATTACTATCTGTGAAAAACCTTCTTTTATTTGGAGAAGGTTCTTGCCCTCATAGATTACAACAAGAACACACACATTCTTAAAATTGGGAAATCACAAATCAGTTACTGACAAGTCACCTGTGGGTGTCTCACTGTTATCAATATTATCAATACATATCATTATTAATTATTTATATGTTGGTATAAATATTATTGAAATTCATCAATCAGTTCAATATAGCAGTATCTGTGAATTTCAGAGATAGGAGGGTTATAAAGGGGTTTCAGATTCTTCTGTTTCTTTCTTTCTTTATTTTTTTGAGACGGAGTTTCATTCTTGTTATCCAGGCTGGAGTGCAATGGCGTGATCTCGGCTCACTGCAACCTCCACCTCCTGGGTTCAAGCAATTCTCCTGCCTCAGCCTCCCGAGTAGCTGGGACTACAGGCGTGTGCCACCATGCCCAGCTAATTTTTGTATTTTTAGTAGAGACAAGGTTTTACCATGTTGACCAGGATGGTCTCGATCTCTTGACCTCGTGATCCATCCGCCTTGGCCACCCAAAGTGCTGGGATTATAGGCGTGAGCAACCGCACCCAGCCAGATTCTTAGGTTTCTAATCCATGGTTTATGGATTGGAATTTATCATCAAAAAGATAACTCTGTTTACTCATAAATATAAGATGCCATGACTTCACAGAGTATTGGAATTGGTTTTAGAGATTATTACGTAGTTCCTGATTTACAGATGGGGAAATGAAAACCTAAGTCTTAGACAACTGAAAAAGCAAAAATAAATTTCATTTTTTTTTTTAAATGAGGAAAATAGGAAATGGAGAGGGTAGCAAAAGAAGGAAGCAGATACAAAGCCAAGAGGGAAAAATAATGTCTTTAATGGTGTGTGGCAGGGTATAACAATCCAAAGTCTCACAAACTGCAGCTCTCAGGCCCTGGGACCCATACAGAACAAGAACAAGGGAGGTGCTGGGTATAATTTTACAGCTCTGAACAAAGTCACTTCTTCCTATCAAGGGAAGTTGTTTTTGGTGTAGACCTGTAAAAGTAGGTGACAGTGGGGCAGACAGAACTTCTCTGGGGCAGCGGTAGAATTCTAGGTTGACATTTTATACCACTTGATTAACTTGAGATGTTATTTGGTGGGGTGGGAAGAAGGGTGTGCTGAGCACATTTTAAACTTTTAAATTGTGAAAGATTTTCTCATATGTTTATCTTGGGACTTTTAAACCCAAAGATCTAACTTCTCGTTTGTTTGTTGTTTTTTTGAGACTCCTCTCCCAGGCTGGAGTGCAGTGTCATGACCTTGGCTCAGCGCAACCTCTGCCTTCCAAGTTCAAGTGATTCTCTTGCTTCAGCCTCTGGAGTAGCTGCGATTACAGGTGGGTGCCAGCACATCTGGCTAAATTTTGTATTTTTAGTAGAGACAGGGTTTCACCATGTTGGCCAGTCTGGTTTCAAACTCCTGACCTCAGGTGATCTGCTCACCTCAGCCTCCCAGAGTACTGGGATTACAGGCA